TTTATTTTTTTCCGCCTGGCTAAAAGTTTGTCCTCTGGTCAGCAGTGCGTTTTGACCACGTCCATGTCTGCATCTTGTGCAGCCAATGAATTGAATTGTTGCTTGTTTTTTGTGTTTTCTGCTCTGTGTTCTGCCCTTTGCCTTTCGTTGTGTGCCTTTGTTTATGCAGGCAGAGCATAAATTTTCTAAGGTTTTAGTTTGCGGAAAATTAATTTTTTTTATCTCTGCCCTGCTGCTTTTGCTGTATTTGCTTTTATTATGTTTTATGTGCTGCACAGCCAGAAATGCAAAAGGAGAAGGGAGCTGGAAAAATCCAGGCAAAAAGCAACCGCAAGTAAATTAAAGTTTTGTTTTGTTCATCCGTCTGTCTTTTGGTTGGCTTAAATAGCCGGCAAAGTGTTTTCGTTGTCAGCTCAATTGGCCTGGAACAAGTCAAAGGGGTCAAAAATTATCTAAAATAGAACTAAACTAAATATATAAATTAAAATAAACCAAAAACCACAAAAATCTGACCAGCAAAATCCTAAATTCTTGGGCCACTTGATTTTCCCTTATTAGCCTTTTGGCTTCAATTCAAATGCCCTGTAATTAAATTGCAATTGTTCGCGAGTTAATGAGCAATTATGAGCCATCAATTGGCAGTGGCAAACAAGCCTGACATTGGCGCCCTCGCAAGTGGCTCAAAACAAAGAAAATCCGCCGAAATGAACATTTTAATTGGCTGCGACGGACACGTGCACACACCTACGTATCCTGGCGCTCTGTCACACTTTATTTACAGTTGTGTTTAAAATAATAAGATTTATTAAAAAATGTATTTAAAAAAAATAAAAAGCCTAACTAAAGCTTTAACAACTTTTTTTATTTATTTGTCAACTGAATTTCTTTAATATCTAAATAATTTTTAAATTATCTTCTTATTTCATAAATATTAAATATTTCAAGTATTAGACTTTTCACAAATACTTTTTAAAACTTTAACTCACTCATTTTGAATACTTGTCTTATGGTTTGAGAAAATACTTATACAAAAATGTTGAATTTATTTAAAAAAATATTTAATAAAAAATATCCTAATATATTTAAAATAAAATATCCTAATATTTTGAACACAGCTGTATTAAAGAGGCACTTACACAGCTGCAATTCAAAAAGCGGCGACAATTGTGAATGGCTTTTGTCGATGGCACAGGCACAGTTGGCACACTCACATTCACACTCACAGTTGCCGGGCAACAATCGCACGTAGGTCCTGTGGAAAAGCTGAAGCAGGATCCTAATCGGAAATGGCGATTTCCTGGCCCCGCCTTCTGCCGCCCCTTCGCCCCTCCCTCCCCGTCACTTCCGTTCGAGGCCATCGTTAATGGGCACATTAGGTGCATATGTGCGAATTTTCTAATTAAAATTTTTTGGCAACTCATTTTCCGTAGGTGGAGCAGCAGTAGCAGCGGCAGTGAGCAGGTGCAAATCGCATAATGGGTTGGCTGAGGCGTTAAAGCGAGTGAAAAATCAGTAGTTAACACAGGTTCCGGAGTGCTTTTGGCAAGTGAAATTAAAAATGCATTCGAAACGCAGTGTGGGGAGCAGTAAAAGACAGCGTTAAACTATAATTGGAAGCTGTTCTTGCAGGTGATAACATCATTCTATTAAATACCCGCTAAGTGGAAAGAGAAGTAGTAATCTTTTGCACAGCTGTGAGTGAGTTGATTTATAGGGAACTACTTAAATATATATGGTTTTTATTAGTAGGTGAATGAAAAGGATAAACAGTTGCTTTGAGTTAAAGGTTGAAAGGTTTAAAGAAACAATCAACTATGAAATTTAAGATAATAGATACTGGGAACAGCGACACAAAGAAGAATTGACATGTGCCCAATGCAAGACAGGCGTGTGAACTTAAAAAAACAATCTGACCCCCTGAACTAAATATTTAAGGACCGTTCCTTTACTTCAGGGATAAGAAGAACGGTTTATAATGAGCAGATCCAATAAACCAACTAAAGCACATTATAACAGCTTCTCAGTATTATCTTCTATTGCCATCTACGAACATTAGAACAACGCTTAAATTAAATGCTTTTTATGTGCCATTGGGGACCGAGTCCTTTTCGAGTATCACACACATGCACTTGGAAAATTTCTTCCACCCCCTTTCCCCCTTTCCACGTCACCCAAGCTCCATTAAACAGATGCGTAGTTTCCTCAGGGTTAAGTGCCACGCCCCCTCCTTCCGCCGCCCTTGCACCGATTTGGGCCCAAAGCGAAAACGCTTGCGAATCGAGTGTGTAATTGGTTTTGTGGCCAACACACACAAACAAGAAAGTGCAGTAAAATAGGACCTCCGTTTTCCAGGACATTCATTATGCATATTGGCCCATGTGTGCCTGTGTGTGTGTTTGTTTGCAGACACAAACACTGGAGAACATCTATAAGGCGCTCTAATTAATTGTTAATGAGTCATTTGGACGGATTATTAGTGTTGTAACGATTTGTAATGACGCCTAAAAGACATCTCTCACTTGTGAATTATTAAATGCCACGTTGCATAATCTCATTTGAATTATTCAGGCCGTCCTCGAATCGTGGGTAATTTGCATATATCGATGCTAAAAGGGATTTCGAGTTAATTAATTTAATTACATGTTACAACTTTAAAGAGGTTTTGAAATTGTTTTAAAGGAAACAGAATACTTTGCGTTTAATCTGTAATTATATTTCTTAACCATGCCCTTTATTAACTTAGTTACAAAGGACCTCTTACGATAATTAAAGCTGTGCCCGGGGTCAAGTAATTGAATGTTTTCTTATTCTCTAAGACAGTTTTGTGATTTTATAACCACTTTTCCTTAAGGATGTTAAGGAATCTTCCCCAAGGATATCAGGTTTACTTCCTTTTAAGTTGTGTTTTTCTCGTTCTTTTCCTTTTCTGATTCTTATCTAACTGTCAACACTTTTGCGGCAAATTAAATTAAATCATAATTTCAATTACCAGAAAATTGACCACAAAAGCGGCCAACGGTCATTACACTGGCCATCATGCCCCCCCTTTTTTTCCAACCGCACCCCCAACACCCCCACCCAATTCATTAACACTTCAAAGTTTTCTGGCTGGGAATGGAAAGAGACGGCGAGAGGGCGAGCAAAAGAGACGGGGGATAGCACGCAACAACACTCGAGGCGTTCGTTAATTTGTTAGATGAACAACAAGCTGCTGTCGCATCTCTAAGGTTTTTGCGGAGAAACCCCCCTACGAACATTTCCTACAGAAAAAATTTCACAGCCTCCGGCAAAAGGCAAACAATAAATAAGCGCAAAAGAGCAAGGGCTACTGTGCGAGCGAGAGGGCGAGCTATACATACCCCACTAAATGTATATAGAGCGCACCACAACCGGAAGAAACTATTGTTCCGGAAAAGTATGCCCAGCTAGGGCGGCGGTGGAAAAAAAAGCAAAAATGATTTCGCACAAACTTTTCTGTTTAGTCAATCATTTTAATTAAGTAATTTTTTCTTTTTCGCCTACTTGTCGTAAAAGTTTTAATAGACGGGGGGAGTATTGTAGGTTGTAGGGGGTGGTTTAGGGGGCAGCGAAAGCAACTGCATTTTGCGGTTAATTATAATGTTGGGCCTGATTACATTTGCCAAGTCTCTCTGGTTGCCTAGTTGGTGACTTTCAGTAATTGCCGAGATTTGAAGTTAGTTAAATGTGGACGCAAGTTGTTTGTTTTGCTCCCAAGACGAGAGTTCTCTCAGGTCATGAAAAGGCTGTAAAAAAGTTGCCACGAACTTTTATTAGCCGCTGATCTAGCCCTCTTGAGCCACCTAGTTTGTTGCACATTCCTCGACCGACCGCGTAATTAATTAAGTTTAGTTTTTGCATCCCGAGAATTCAAGTGAAATCAATGAATCAGGCGGGGGCGAGGCAAATCCGAGTTTTTCACTCAGTCCGTTAGAAACTATCTCCCAGAAACGCCCCCTTGAACTTCCGTTCGCCGATGTTGAGCAACTTTTCGCAATCGAAGTTTAAGCCACCACCCCAACCACCCACAGGTGGATGCACCTTGCATTTTAAGTTCCACCTGCACCACTGCCCCCTTCCAACCCACTTGCCCCACAGCCATACGGTTGATTTCCTAACTAAGCACGCAAATGAAGCGTGTGCCCATCAAGGATGCGACTCTATCTCTCTGCGGTTGAACATACCCACTACCAGTTATTCGTACAGCTGGGATGCGTACATATCCTTCTGGCCGGGAGGACGAGGACTGACGCAACAAGGACCAGGAATCGTGGCACGTGGAGACAACCGCAGGAAGTGGAAGAGGAACAGTCAGGGATCCGAGTTGCGGAGAAGTGAATGGAGCTCAAACCGTGTTTAATCGTTGAAATTATGCAATTGCGAGACGACAGTGGGCTTGGACTTCCACTATATGGCACAGTGGTTGGAGACTTAGAGAAAATGATGAAAATATAAAAAATAAAAAAAATAAAAATATAAAAAAAAATAATAAAAAATATAAATAAATTGCATTCCAAACACTTTTCATGTAATACCTAAATACATTATTTTAGGTCGTAAAGCAATGTAGTTTATGAAGGTATATAAAATCAACTAATACACTTAAAAACACCTATAAAATCACATCCTAGAGTTCCACGAAGGCAAGTTTCACATCAAGACTTTTCTCGACCTTCATCTTTATAAGCCCTCTTACTATAATTTTGTTATTTTTAGTCACACTGGAATGGTAAACATCATACAGCCCACATATATGACATCCCTTCGAAACAATGTCAGCATTCTGGGCATAGCAAAACATCTGACAATTTGGCAGCACCAACTGTCGCCTAAAGTCAGTTATTCGAAGTTGCTATAGATATGGATACACGGGTATGGGTATAGAGAACGTGTTGGACTAATTAGCAGATCGCACATCTAGTTCTGACACCTCCCAGCGACCGAGCTCACGGAGCTGCCCTATATATATGGGCCAGACCACACTCGCCGAAACTCAGTTGATGTGTGTGGAGGTTTTGTTTCGACGAGAAATGGCGGCCACCAAGTACGACAGCTTTGAGAAGATCTGGTCTGGTCCCAAGGACAAGGAGTACTATGGACCGGACATGACCCTAGGCGAAGTGGCCCTGATCATCCTACGTCTCTATTCGGACAAGGTCATGCAGGTGTTCGATCCCACGGGAGAGGAGCTCACTGGAGCTCAGTTGTTGGAGCAAAGTCGTCGATTGGCCCATGCCTTTCAACGCCTCAAGTTGCAAAGGGGAGATGTCGTTGGTATTTCGGCCAAGAACACCACTTATCTCACTGAAGTTGTCATTGCAGCCCTGCTGAATGGAACCCCCATCAATCCACTGCATCCGGATTTTGACCCAGGTAATACCTCTTTCCCTTGCATAACCTTATAATGCAGCTACCTAACTTGAATCGCCAGAAACCACCGCCTATATGTACGAGATCACCAAGCCCAAGGTGATATTCTGCGACCTGGACAACTACCAGACCTTGAGTGCGGTCAAAAGCAGTCTCAAGTTCAAAACGGAGATCATCTTGCTCACTGGAACTCTGCCGGGAGTGCGAAATATACAGGATTTGCTGGCCGACGGCTGCACTGGATACGATGAGAAAACACTGTAGGTAGATGAACTTACCTTGAAATTAGGATCCTTTAAAGTAGTCCTGTTCCTTTAGCTTTGCCTGCCCGCATTTGAGTGGCGATGACACGGCCTTCATAATTACTTCCTCGGGAGTAACCGGTTTGCCCAAGGGCGTAACCCGTCTCCTGAACAGCGCTAAAATGTAAGTAGTTCTACAGTTACTTTCTTACTTCTATAATAACCCTTAATGGTTCTTGAACAGCCCTCAGTTGTTCACCTCAGAAACTGTGCTATTTTGCATCAGTCCGCTCTACTGGATCAGCTGCATCTTCACCCTGCTCGCCTCGCTGGTCAACGGATGTCGCAGGATCATCACGAATCGTCCTTTTAGCGTGGAATACTTTGCAGATCTGGTGGAGCGTCACCAGGTGACCTTTGTGCTCACAGTACCCCACCAAATGGCATTGTTGGCCAAGAATCCACGGAGACAGGAACTGGCTGCCAGGATGCAGTCCGTCCAGTCCTTTGTGTGCAGTGGATCCAAGGTTCCTTTGACCATCTGGCGGCAGTTGTACGAACTACTCGGAGCTGATCGTTTTGCCGTGCTCTATGGCTTAACTGAGATTGGTGGGATCTCCAAAAACGTAGGAGGTCCTTTGGGCAGCGAGGGCAAGCTACTGCGAAATGTCCAGGTGCGTTTGGTGGATGCACATGGTCAGAGTTTGGGTACCAATCAAACGGGTGAGATCTTAGTAAGGCTAAATCTTCGCTGGGGTGGCTACTACCACAATCCCCAGGACACTCAGGTCACTGTAACCCCCGATGGCAAGTGGCTTCTGACCGGGGATCATGGCTACTTCGATGACGAGGGATGTCTGCACTACCAGACCCGCGATACCGATGTCTTCAAGTACAATCACTTTCCCATTTATCCCAAGCAAATCGAGGATGTAATACTCAACCTACCTGGAGTCCATGAGGTGGCTGTCTTTGCCATTCCCGATGAGGTGTCCACTAATCTCACAGCCTGCGCTGTGGTTCGGGATCAGGATGAACTGGGTGGACAGCTAACAGAACAGGATGTCAAGGACATTGTGGAGCAGCACCTGAGCGAAGCCTTTCACATACGCGGCGGAGTCTTCTTTGTGGACAATCTACCGAAGACGCAGAACAACAAGGTTCAGCGCAGGAGAATCTGGCCCGAGTTACAAGAGGCCACCACCCATCTATGAGATAACCTTTGATAATAAAGTCGTGCTTTTCTTAATTGTAAACACTGTGAGTCATGAGAAGAACTGGGAGAGATTAAAAAGTTTCCATATCTGCCGTGTCTGGTGGACAGCTGGTTTTGATTAGCGGACTGAGATGAGTAAATCAGCATCTATTTTAGTTGACACTTGACGTGCCCGACTAATTAACAGCTCCACTTTGTTTCCCGCTGTCCACGGAGCCGTATAAAACGCAAATGAGGCGCCATAAAGCACTTATTCGATCGTGAGTGATCACCATGAGCTGTGAGGTGCACTACGATGCCGCTTCGCGCACCTGGTTCGGTCCGCGGGGCAAGGACTTCTACGGTCCGGAGATGACCCTCGGCGAGGTCATCATGCGCGTGCTCCAGATCAACGCCGATCAGGTGATGCAGCTGTGCGATCCCACGGGTCAGGAGCTCACCGGTGGTCAGCTGGCCCAGCAGAGTGCCCGCATCGCCCAGGCCTTCAAGAGATTGGGCTTAAGGAGGGGCGATGTCGTCGGCATCTCGGCGAATAACTCCACCTACCTGACCAGCGTGGTCATCGCGGCCCTGCTCCGTGGAATACCTATTAACCCACTGCATCCGGAGTTTACAGAGGGTAAGCTGAAAACGAGTAAAAGCTAGTTAAGGCGAGTAGCGAGTAAGAGCGAGTAGCGAGTTAAAGCGAGTAGCGAGTATGCCATAACTTCTTAAATATTTATTTTGATTGTAAGGGATTTAAATATCATTAAGTTTTCTTTTTCAGAGACCGTTAAGTACATGTATGACATTACCGAGCCCAAGGTAATCTTTTGCGATGTGGAGAACTATCCCGTTATAAAGTCGGTTAATGAGAGGTTAATCAATCCCGCCAAGATTTATCTGGTCAATGGAGAAATAGATGGAGTACTCGACATAAGCATGCTGCTGAATGATGATGAGTGCATTACGGCTGCTGCGTGAGTACTTATAATCTTCGTGAAGAGTAATGGAGTTACATATATATATCTTTCCAATTTTAGTTATGTACCTTGCCCAAAATTGCACGGAGATCACACGGCCTTTATTGTTTGCTCCTCGGGAACTACGGGGATGCCAAAGGGTGTGACCCGATCCCATCGCAGTTTACTCTGTAATTGCAAAAAGTAAGTGATGAGGGGGTGTGAATTTGAATTAGGTGGATTACCTAAAGGGATTAACTAGATAGGATCTGTTAATATTTAATTCCATTTACAGCCCCAATACCTACACCAGGGATAGTGTTCTGCTCTCGTTCAGTCCCCTCTACTGGATATCGGGAACCATTATTCTGCTGGCCTCCCTCCTCAACGGCTGTCGTCGGATCATCACCCATCGTCCCTACAGTGTGGAGTATCTCCTCCAGCTGGTGGCGAATCACAAGGTGACCTTCCTGTTCCTGGCCTCCCACCAGATAGCCCTGCTCTCGAAATACGAGAGTGATGTGATGCAGCTGAAGGCACAGCTGCAATCCGTGAGGGTTCTGATTGGTGCTGGATCCAAGGTTTGCAAGGCGGTGTCCCGCCGGATGTACGAGTTGATTGGCAGCCAGAGGTTCATCGTGGGCTATGGACTTTCTGAGATGGGAGGGTTGAGCAAAAATGTGGGTGGCCCAGTGGGTTGTGAGGGCAAGGTGATGCGAAATGTGGAACTGCGGGTGCTGGACAAACTGAAGATGCCACTGGGCATTAATGAGGTAGGCATCGTCTATGCCCGATTGCGCTACAAGTGGGAGGGTTACTACCGGAATCCCGAGGCCACCAGGAGGGCCCTCAGCTCGGATGGCCTGTGGTTCCGCACCGGGGACATTGGTTACCTCGACAGCGAGGGTCACCTGTACATCCAGACCCGCGACACCGACGTCTTCAAGTTCAATAACTTCCAGATCTACCCGGAGCAGATCGAGGAGTTCATCCTGCGGTTGCCCGGTGTCAATGAGGCCTGTGTCTTTGGTATCCCCGACCATGTGTCCACCAATCTCACTGCCTGTGCCGTGGTTCGGACTAAAAGTCCCGAGGGAGAGCGCCTCACGGGAGATCACATCCGGAATATTGTAGAGAGGCACTTGAGTGGAGCGTATCACATTCGAGGAGGTGTATATTTCATCGACAGTCTGCCAAAAACACCCAATGACAAGCTACAGAGGCGAAAAGTCATGGGCCTAATTCAGCAGCTCAAAATCGAAGCTCAATAAAAATAGGTTATCACTTCTCCCAGAAAAAAAAATTAATTTTTAGGAAGGAAATTGTAATAGTTTTGCAATAGGATCTACACATTTTTTAAAGCTTGTTTATTTGTAACCACTGTGCAACTAGATATGAAAGATAAATATCTTCTAAGAGGTATCTTTGATGCCAAAATAATCAATATTAAACCCCAAAGAAGCAAAAGACAAGTTTCAATCAGTACTATAAGAATATTTTTCTTTTTAAAAACATTTTTCCATTTGCATTTTTTTTAAGTTTAGGAAAACCCATAACATTGAACCACTGTGCATGCTTAGAGGCTGATGGCTAACTAATGCCGGCAACTCAATGAATTCTAATCGAGATTCAAATTGTAAAAGCCCTGTCTAAGGCCTTTAGAGAAAGGGGTCTCCTTCGGCTTTTCAGTAGTTAGGGGGTTGGGGTTGTTTAGCCTCCCACCCACGACCCCCGTTGGCAATGCCAATGACAAGCAATTTGTTATTTGTGGCACCCCTGCGGCTCCGACTCCAGTGGCCCAGGGCGTAAAAACATCGACTCGGACAGATATTCTACATAAAATGAATTGAAAAATTAAAATTGCAATATGCAGGGGGCAATGGGCAATGGCTGATGGACAAAACATACATATTTTATTGGTTTCTGTTTCTGTTTGGGGTTTTTAGGACTTTTAGGATCGAAGCGAAGCGAAGCCAGTCTGCAGAAATTCGACATTTGACAAATTCCGAAATGAAATGCTCGACAAAACACGATTCAATTTGCCTTTCTCCCCGTAATAGCAGCAGTTAGCGGGAAGGAGGAGTGGGAACCTAAGCCCTATTCCATCCACATGGTTTTGGTTCCGACCTCCTGGTTTAGTCTCATTCCATACCTGAGTCCTGTATCTATGTATCTGTATCTCCGTGGCCGTCTGCATTCTGCAACTAATGCGGATTATCCCGGGGCTTTGCAAACTGCACCCAAGGTGTAAATTTGTGTGCCCGGGATTTGCATGACCAACGAATAACTGAATGATTCAAGGCAGGAGTAAGTGAATGAGTGAATGAATGAATGGGTAAGTGAATGAAGGCGAGCGAGTTGCTTAACAATTTCCGCTTAGGGGATAAACCGAAGGAGGTCAACATCCCTGTTTTTAAGCCTCTTTCACTTCCTGGTTTCGAAGATTACGTTTCTTCTGGATTTTCTCAAACCACACGAAGAGATTTTAAGTAAATTAAAGTGTAGTTCATTCTAGAAATGAAAACACGGAGAGGAGCAAGAGTTTATTTTATTTAAAAATTCCTGACTAAAAATATAATACCCCTGGCCAAATGTTTTTAATACTTATATAAAAAACCACTCACCATAAAATCACTCGACAATAATTGGAAAAATTGTTGGCATATTTTTAATCTCTTTAGATGAGCAAATATCACTTCAAGTTGAGGTCTTTCCTTATTTTTATAAACATATTTTATTTTCTGGCACATTCGTTACACAACTTAAGCCGGCAATACAATTTTTAAGCAATTGTGACCGCAAGTGTGTTTGCAGAAATTCAATTCCAAATTGAACAGCCATTCTTCAGTGACTCACTTTATGAAATTAAAATTTTCAAGTCCGAAAACAAAAATGTGCATTCTAATGCCAAACTAACTAGCTGCAATTTTTAGCTCTTAAATGCCTTTGTATAAACTATTTTGTTATGCCATTGCGTTCTGACCAGCAGGTAAATAAAAATAGTAAATAATAAATATAAATGGTAATATTGTGACCATTTTATTTGCCTTTTTCATTCGGCAAATATTTCCTGTGAAACAAAAGGCAACAATTTATGCTTTAAATTTTCATCAAGGAAATGCGCAGCATATGGAAATGAAAGTAAACAAGAGCGACCATAACACCAACAATAAACTGTACTGAAAGTGCAACAATAACAGCACCACCGAACCCACTCAACCCAACCGAATTCGGAATACGTAATATAGAGAGAAGTTTGTGCCGTGTCCTGTAATCAAACAAACATTTTCGGTGGTATCCAGGGGTGGATCTACAAAAGGGATATCCCGCATATGTCCTGCGCCACGAAACATGTCCTGTTCCTCGTGTTTCGCTGCTCGCTCCTCGTTTCCTCGATCGCTGAACTCGCACATCTGCCGTGCGTTGATTTCGCCTCCTTCCCTTCAGAGGGTTGAAATGTTTGCCCAGTTCATAGTGGTGGCAACTATTAGTGCCACACAGCAGTTGTCCGAAGGAGCCGTTACTTTTGATGGTACATGTACTCACTGGAACACCTGGACTTGGGTGGTTAGGAAATCCACAGGCACAATCTGCAGGCCCTCATTGAAGTTATAAACTTGTTTGTTATCATGTCGATTTAATTGTCTGCTGCAGTGAGATTACCACTGATTAAATGAGCAGGGAATTTGTTTATATTTATGATTATTTCTATGATGAAAAAGAATAAATCAATAAATTTCTGAGGAAGTTTCATATTTTAATTTCAATGCACATAAAACATTTTAAAAATGGTTTAACATTCATTAAACGGTATATTATTCTTGATTAATGTTGAGTATTATAATACGATTTTTGAAACGTGTACAGAATTATATATTTAACGATAGACATACATTTTCAAAGTAAATTTTCAAATTGTAAAAATGCAAATTATTCTTTAAAATCTCTCTTGTTATCTGGTACGTTTTAAATTTAAGGGTATGGCCCCTTCTGAGAGCCCATTTTAAATTGCCTAGCTACGCAAACCACAATATGTAGGTGTGTGCTTGGGACATGTGTGGCTGCGAATGCATTGCAAATGGTTTGTGGCAGGGTAATATTTAACTCGGTTTGCTCACCTCCAGGGTCCGGACTTAGGGGCCACATTCAAATCAACTTCAAGTCCATGCATTTTTTATGCCACGCCCCATGAGCCACTGGACCACCCACCGCCCACTGCCTATGACCATAACCCACCGGTGGGCCTACACGTGCATCTGACTTGTGGTCACCGGGCAGGATTCCCCCAAGAGTGGACCATGGCGATGGTCAGGGACATCTCGCCCGTGTTTGTCGGTTAATAAAATGTATGTTTTTGCTGCCTTGCGGTTGCCTAGGCTCCTGAGAAGCCCCCTCTACCCTCTTTCCCTCCCTCCCCCAAAGGAGCCAGGACGACTGTGCATACATTAACCGCCCTTTATTGAGCATTTTTATGCGATTTCCCGGTGTCGACCTGCTGCGGCTGATGCTTTTATCTGCTCAATGCGCTCGAGCGTGCCCCGGTTGCCAATGAGGCATAAATTCTTGATTTCACGCACTTTTGATTGATGGTAAAGGATGTGCGAAAAGACCCCCCAACACGGAGAAAAAAGGACAAACAAATGGACATTTATTTAAATATTTCATGAAAAGGGAGCTGTTTGAATAAAAATTATTTATAGGGATTTGAAGGTTGATCTTATTGAAAAAAAAGTTATTTTTCCAAACATTAAAAATTTTAATATTTTTGATTTATTACAAAATTAAAGTAAATAGCTTTAGCTTGCTGCTTCCATTTTTAACAAGGTAATTTATATTATGGTTCTTTGTAGAAACGATATATTTTTTAAAATTAATTTTCCGTGTGCTTAAGCGGAACAAAGGAAAGATGCTGGCTGGCTTGCAAGTTGAGGGCTCCTGTAAGGCTCTTTAAAATCCCCGAAAACGGCAAAAACACACAATATTACAATCGGATTCGATGTAAAAGCTGCGGGCCCCAAAAGATAAACAGAAAACTTATTCTCACACACAATAGAATCAAAATTCGTGTGTATTTTGTGTGTTGGTGTGACAAAAGTAGACTTGATAAGATTTTGAATGGAAAAGGTGCATCTGAAACTCAGCAGGCTTTCAGACCAAAGTATTTAATACGCGTTCACATCCGGGATTAGATAAGCCAAAGAAGAACATTTGCGAAAATGTAGGGGCATCCAAAACGGAACTAGGAATGCTCTTTTATAAAATTCATTTAAATTGAATTAATTCAAAATATTAAAAAATATTAATATATTTTTAAATTATCTTAAATTTACTTTAACCAAATATATTAAAATAATAATAACTATATTTAAATATATTTCTTAAGCTTGATAGGTCGAGTATATGATGCCATATTTCACTGTAATTAATTATCCCTATCAAAATAACATTTTTGGATTTAAAAATAATTTTCTTCATTATTTATTTGAATCATTTATCAAGAAGCTGGGAGAAGTGATATTGAGAAATTTAATTTATAGAGTAATGTTATCAATAAAAAGTCCGTACTAATGTTTTTCCTTTGGCCGCTTGGACGTGAGGATCTGCAGCTGTTGTGCTGGCTTTAATTTTCTTGGGACAGGAAGCCCACCACCGGAAAACTTTCTTGGCCTGAATGAACAGAATCGGCCGTAGTATATGGTAGTTGGGAAAAAAGGACGCGTGTCCTAACGCCTGCCAGCCGTCTGTCTGGCCACGCTTCGCAGCGCCTACGCAGAATAAGGAGGGAATAGGTGCCAGGATAAGGGTTGGGCGGGCCAAGTCCTTGAGAGGTGGGGAGGGGGTAGGGATACCATGAGGTCTTGGCACACGCCGCTGGCGTCTCAGTTGAGCGCTTCTTGGTCAGGGCCCACTGAATAATAGTTCACTTTTCATCGCAGATAAGGAAATATATAAATAAGCATTCAGATCCACCCCTGCCCCTTTCAGCCCCTTTCTCATTTGCCTCTCGCCCTCTGCCTCCTCATGTTTTTCTCCCTCTGTGTGGATTATAATTTCTGAAGACACGCAACCGAACGCCCACCAACGCCCACGTTTAGGCTGAAACTCTACAGGGTAAGAAAAATATATATGAGTTAATTTAGAAGTTATTTTAATTATTTTATAAAAGTTTCCAGACTTAAATAATTTATTTAAAAATAAATGGAATTTTAAAAAATTATTATAAAATTATTTAAGTGATAGTAACACCATTTAAAATTATTTTAAAATTTTT